TGAGTGAAATTCAGCTTTGGTTTCAAGTATTTAGGTGTCATGCCTGTTTTCAGAGGTAATATTTAACATTTGGAGAGTAGGGACGGTTAGGCCAAGCGTAGTCACAGTACTAAAGCACTCCTTCAGTCACAGATACTCTACAGGTAGAGATTAGGAGGATTGCAGTTCCGTGCCAGCCTTACAAAAGTGAAAAAGACTTTTTTTTCCTCTCAACCAATAAACTGAGTGTGTTAAGTAGTTTCAGCAGCTGGGGAGGCATAAGTAGGTAGATCAGTGCCTAAGACAGCCCAGGCAAAAAATGTAAGACACTATTCAAAAATAAAACAATAAAATGGGCCACTGATGGTTCATGTTACTCAGGAGGTTTAAGATCTTAGGACGGAGGTTTGAAGCCAGCCTAGGCAGGAAACTTCGTGAGAATCTTATCTCCAGTTAACCCACCAAGAAACCAGAAGTGGCACTGTGGCTCAAAGTGATAGAATACTAGCCTTGAGCAAAGCTCAGGGACAGTGCTCAGGCCCTGAATGGAAGCTCTGTGACCAACCAAAAAAAAAAAAAAAGAAGTGAGACTGTGACTCACATGGTAGAGGACTTGCCTAGCAAGCATGAGGCCCTAAGACAGACAGACAGACACACACACACACACAAATAGAGACTATCAAATCACCAATCAGAATTGTAATTAAATTTTAGATAACCATGAATTGTTTGCTTATTTTGGTTAGTTGGAGATAAGAGTCTCATGTATTTATTACTATTTTTAACCAGGGCTGGCTTTGAAACTGGATCTGTATATCTCTGTACCTTCTGAGTACTTAGGATTACAGACATGAGAAACTAGTGCCTAGCTTTTGAGACAAGATCTTTCTGTGTTTCCTAAGCTGCACTTGACTTTATGTGTTCAAGTGATCCACCTCAGTTTACCCCAGTAGCTGGAACTATAGGTATTTAGCACCATGCCTGGCTTAGTTAAAAGTCTCCTATGTGACTCAACAATATAGATTTTTAGCTTATTAATTCTTATGATAACTTATTGAGTTAGATATAATTATTATACCCAGTTTACAGATAAGAAACTACACTTGAGAAATTGTGACTTGCTAAGGAATGCACAAGTATAAACAGGAAAAGCTGAAATATAAAATCCAGATCTTCTTATTTAAGGTCTACTGTTTCTTTCACGTACAGTAGTGCAATTCTAAATCTGCTTCAGACCCAAGCTGAGGTTACAGTGGGGAAGCCTTCACCCCACCTCACTACCCGTTTTAAAAAGATCCTGGGGCCGGGCGCTGGTGGCTCACGCCTGTAATCCTAGCTACTCAGGAGGCTGAGATCTGAGGATCACGGTTCAAAGCCAGCCCGGGCAGGAAAGTCCATGACTCTTTTTGTTTGTTTTTTTTTGGGGGGGGGTCTGGTCATGGGGTCTGAACTCTGGGCGTGAGCGCTGTCCCTCAGCTCTTCAGCTCAAGGCTAACGCTCTACCACTTGAGCCACAGTGCCACTTCCGGCTTTTTTCTTTTTGCTTATGTGGTGCTGAGGAATCCAACCCAGGGCCTCAGGCATGCAAGGCAAGCGCTCTACCACTGAGCCACCTTCCCAGCCCATACACAAAAGTTTTTAATCTTGGGTCTGGGAAGGTGGCTCAGTGGTAGAGTGCTTGCCTTGTGTGCATGAGGCCCTGGGTTTGATTCCTCTGCACCATATAAACAGAAAAGGCTAGAAGTGGCACTGTGGCTTAAGTGGTAAAGTGCTAGCCTTGGGCTGGAGAGCTGAGGGACAGCACCCAGACCCAGTGTTCAAGCCCACGACCGACCCCCCCCCCAAAAATTATTATTAATCTTATTATATGTTAGAGTTCTTTTAAGACCTTATCCAGAAAACCACTCTGCCACACTTAAAAGTTCCCAAGCCAGACGCCAGTGGCTCATGCCTGTAATCCTAGCTACTAAAGAGGCTGAGATCTGAGGATCGGGGTTCAAAGCCAGCCCAGGCAGGATAGTCCATGAGACACTTATCTCCAATAAACCACTAGAAAACTGGAAGTGGCACCTATGGCTCAAGTGATAGAACACTCTCGTTGAGCTGAAGAGCTGAGAGATAGTGCCCAGGCCCAGAATTCAAGCCCCACAAAAGTTACTGTTCCCTGTCACTGCCCCCACATTAAAGGGAAAGAAATCCTGAGTCCTCTTTTGGTGACATGATGGTTTTGGATTTTCTTTTCCTCCAGAACAGTTGGATATTTTTGAGCCTGATTTATTTTCCACACATAATGGTACATATTTTATTTTTGTTATTGTTGTTGGTCGTGGGTCTGGGCACTGTCCCTGAGCTTTTTCACTGAAGCTAGTGCTCTACCATTTTGAGCCATTGCCCACTTCCAGTTTTCTGGTGATTAATTGGAGATAAGAGTCTAACAGACTTTTCCTGCCCAGGCTGGATTTAAACTGAAATTCTCAGATCTCAGCCTCCTGATTAGGATTATAGGTGTGAGCCACCAGCACCTGGCATGTTCTTTACTTTTGCTCAGATGCAGTTTTCCCTTACGTTGTCTACCATGATGCAACATAGTTTTTATAGAAGCATAACCTTATGGACAGGGATCAGATCAAACCCTTCACCTGCAGTGCATTCATGCAGCTTGTTTGCCAGTTTAAGACCTTTGAGGGCTGGGAAGGTGGCTCAGTGGTAGAGCACTTGCCTTGCATGCTCGAGGCCCTAGGTTCAATTCCTCAGCACCACATAAGAAAAAAAAGCCGGAAGTGGTGCTGTGGCTCGTGGTAGAGTGCTAGCCTTGAGCTGAAGAGCTGAGGGACAGTGCCCAGGCCCAGAGTTCAGGCCCCACGACCAGACCAAAAAAAGAAAAAAGACCTTTGAGCTTTGTGTAGATCCATTCCATATGCAAGGACTAGCTTCTTCCTTGATTAGAACCTCCTTAGTTCACTTTTCCACCCATTCAAAATATGAAGTTGATTGGTGTTATCCTTATTCTCCAGGTTATACTGGAAAGATGAACAGCAGTTCACCCAGAAAGAACAGTTGTAGATTAATTTTACCCCAGCAAATATGGACTTAGAAGCTAAAGATAAGAGCTTACTCTAATAAGTATATTTATTCATATGCAACACTTTTTTGTGTGGGGGTGTCCAGAGCTTGGGGCTTGATTTCAGGGCCTGGACACTGTCCCTGAGCTTTTTTGCTCAAGGCTAGTGCTCTACCACTTGAGCCACACCTTGACTTTTGACTTTTTGGTGGTTAATTGGAGATAAAAAGTCTCATGGACTTTCTTGCCCCAGGCTGGCTTCAAACCATAACCTCAGAGCTCAGCTTCCTGAGTAGCTTGGATTACCTGTGTGAGTCACAAGCTCCTGGCCACTTTTTTTTTTTTTTTTTGGTCGGTCGTGGGGCTTGAACTCTGGGCCTGGGCGCTGTCCCTCAGCTCTTCAGCTCAAGGCGAGCATTCTACCACTTGAGCTACAGCGCCACTTCCGGTTTTCTGGTGGTTTATTGGAGATGGAGTCTCACGGTCTCTCCTGCCCGGGCTGGCTTTGAACTGTGATCCTCAGATCTCAGCCTCCTGAGTAGCTAGGATTACAGGCGTGAGCCACCAGTGCCCGGCTCCTGGCCACTTTTTATCCTTAGTAAGCAGAAAGAAAAGAAAGAGAGAGAGAGGAAGGAAGGAAAGAAGGAAGGAAGGAAGCGAATGAACCTTTTGGAGGTTGGAGGTGTGGCTCAGTTTGTAGAGCACTAACCAGTGAGTGAAAGGGTTAGGAATGGAGTAGAGTCCCAGTCTTGGACCTTAAAACAAAGTGCCTTGTGGTTTGGAATGACAATATGTAGGTAGTTTCCAATTGCTGTTATGTTTCTTTGGCTGCAAATTCTCCTTGCATTCCAGGGTTGGAAGTACAGAACTCTTCTAAAAAACAAAACATTGTGGGAAAAGACCACTGGTATGTTGTTTTTCCAGGAGGGTTTGAACGTTTTAGCTTTTCACTTTTATCTTGAATGTAGGGTACAAGTGTACCCTAGATGTGAGGATTGTAACCTAGAGCAAATACTTTGAAAATTTTGGGTTCTAGAGTATAAATTTTTTTCTCATGAGGGATATTGATAAGTTCATAGCCACTAGGGCCACAACTCAATCTTGGTTGTTCAGTGAACCTTTTGTGTTTTGAGTACTGGGATTGAATTAGGGAGTAAGCCTTTTGACTACTTTAGCCTTGCCCAGCCCTTTAGTTTGTATTTGGTTTTGAGATCATGCCTTCACCGCCTTTGCCCAGGCTGGCCTTAAATTTGAAATCCTTCTGCCCCTGCCTCCTGAGTAGCTGGGATTATAGGTGTGTGTCACTGTGCCTAGGTGTTTAGTGGACTTTTGAAGCTCCATTGAGGAAGTCGTTTATTATTTACCATATTAATTTCAGTTACCTAATAAATCTCAATCTGTTTTCTATACCATTTATAAGGTGCTTTATAGAATAATAATAGCAAGTGACTGAGGGCCATGGGCAAACGTGTAGACATCTGTCTGTTCTTTCAGTCAATATTTGGCATTATACTTTCTGATTTTATTCAGCCTGCTTTGAGGTATAGAACATATGCAGACTCCAAGCTGTGGAGAGAATGTGTATCTTAAAGGAGATGTATGTTTGCACATGAGTTTGGATATCTACAAGTGTGTGCATGTGTACGTGTGTATGTGTGTGTTTGAGGGATGAGGAACACAATCTCTTTTTTTGCCAGTCCTGGGGCTTGAACTCAGGGCCTGGGTGCTGTCCTTGAGCTTCTTTTGCTCAAGGCTAACACTTTAGCACTTGAGCCACAGCACCATTTCCAGCTTTTTCTGTTTATGGGGTACTGAGGAATCGAACCAGGGCTTCATACATGCTAGGCAAGCATTCTGCCACTAAACCTCATTCCCAGCCAGAAGAACACAGTCTTTAGTAGCTAGTTTTCTTTATATTACTTCTGTGTACTAGTTAACTTGATTCCTTTGCTCTTTCCAGGTAAATATGCAGAGGACATTTTTGGAGAGCTCTTTACTCAGGCAAACACCTTTGCCTGCCGAGTAAGCTCCCTTGCGGAAAGGGTCGACCGACTACAAGTTAAAGTCACTCAGCTGGATCCCAAGGAAGAAGAAGGTAAGGAAGCTGAGCTCAGCATTTGCAGGCTCTGCTGAGCAGTTTTTTAGAATTTTTTCCCCCTGATGTATAAAAAAGAAGCAAAAGGAGAAATCACCTATAGAGTTATGCCTTGAAATGACATAAGCCTGGGTGGTGTAAGAAACCTTTTGAGCTCTCCCACACCCCTCCATACTCCCTTTCTCTCATTCCCCCAGTTCCCTTGTTCTCAAGTTTCCCTTCCCTTGGCCCTATTTTGCTACCATAAAAGTACTTGGAAGATTCTTTCCGCTGAAGGAGAGGCCTGTTAGATCTGGCCACATAGGAAACCTTTGTGTAGCCTCGTGCTGTTCAGTCGTGAAATGGCTGGGCTGCTGACAGCCTCGTGGGGCCTCCCCAGAGGGGGAGGGAAAAAAAAAACCTGGCTGCAGACAGCCGCAGCCAAGAAATGCAGCAGCTGAGGCTGCTCTGACTGGCGTGACTCAGTGTTTGCTCAAATAGCCTGTCGTCCATTTTGTAACACCTTCCATCTTGTCTCAGTGTCACTACAAGGAATCAACACTCGAAAGGCCTTCAGAAGCTCTACCACTCAAGACCAGAAGCTTTTTGACCGAAACTCACTCCCAGTGCCCGTTTTGGAGACCTACAATACCTGTGACACCCCGCCCCCCCTCAACAATCTTACCCCTTACAGGTAACTGTCCAGCTCTCCTTGTTTGAGGCCTATGGTTAACAACATGAGATTGCTTAAAATATGTAAGGAAGTTGTTTATAGCAGAGGATTGTATCAAAAGCTCACTGTCTACCCAGAGATGCTTGTGGCAGCAGAAGCTAGGTTTATGCTGTAAACAGTTGTCACTTACTGTTTGGTTGTTGGGCTCCTAAAATTCATAGTGAGTGTAATACATATTGAAGGTTTGCTCTACCATTACAAGCTGCAGAGTTTAATTTGGTAAAAGCCAGGTCTGTCTTGGATTCCATCCAAAGAATTTAGTTATTATAGAACCAAAAGGCCTTTGTTCCAAGGCAGTTCTACAGCCTGGGTCCCAGGGGCAACATTCTAGGAAGGCTCCCACTAACTTGGAAACCACCAGATTGCCAGATGTTTGGACGTGTTAGTGGGGCCATCTTCACGGACTGGCTGCTCGGGGCTCAGGGGTCCCTCCAAAAAGAGCGATTGGCATTCTTCCAAGTGAATGTCACTTGCTTTGTTTTGAACATCCTTTTGACATTTCCTTCTGCAAGGACCTACCCTGTTGCAGCTGGACTTGCAAAAGAAGGCAGCCTCAAAGACAACTCAAAGCCCTTTCCTTCCCCCTTGTAGTACGGTAGTGTTGTCATGTCACACAGAAACACTGAACAGGGGCGGAAAACGAATATTTGTCTTGTCTGTATCCATCCATATATATATATATATATATATATCTTTGGAACAGGTAAAAAGTACAGATAGCTGAAGGATGATGTCTTCCATCAGACATGGATACACTGCAAAGTGGAATGTTTGTGTACCCCTGTGAAATTTAAGGATGTCATTCTGATTCAGGGAGCTGGAACAAGAGCTTGGTAGCTTGTCACACATACACAAAGTCCATGGCATCTGCTCTTTTCAACTATTATGTGAAATTACGCTCATCTCTGGGCTGTCAAAGGGGCTAGAGAGAATAGCAAGATTTGACTCCGGTCTCCCTCCATCCTTGAGTCTGGTTATGTTTGGGCAGAGTGGAGGCAGCAAGGGATCACTGGTAATATTAGAGGGAGTATGATGTAGAGTTTGTATTATAGAATAAGCAAATGATATCCTATGGGGAATCCATTTTTCTGATAACATGATTTTCCTTTTAAATATATCAGAATTAGCATCTCCTTTTAGTTAACTATAGATTTGTCCTAAGAAAAACAAGCATAGTGAGATCTGAGGATTGAGGTTCAAAGCCAGCCCAGGCAGGAAGGTCTATGAAACTCTTATCTCCAATTAACCACCAGAAAACCAGAAGTGGCACTGTGACTCAAGTGGTAGATCGCTTGCCTTAAGCTGAAGAGCTGAAGGGCAGTGCCCAGGCCCAGAGTTCAAGCCCCACGACTGACAAAAAAACAAAAAACAAGCATGGTATGTCTAAGTCAGAACAAGATTTAACATAAGGCAGGGCACTGGTGGCTCACACCTGTATTCCTAGCTACTCAAGAGGGTGAGATCTGAGGATCATAGTTCAAAACCAGCCCAGGCAGGAAAGTTCATGAGACTCTTATTTCTATTTAACCACCACAAAACTGGAAGTGACTGGCTCAAAGTAGTAGAGCACTTGAGCTGAAGAGCTAAGGGATAGTACCCAGGCCTAGAGTTCAAGCCCCATGACCGACAAAAGTAAAAAGATTTTTTTTTTAAAATTTTTGCCAATACTGGGCACTGTCCCTGAACTTTTTTTGTTTTGTTTTGGCCAGTCATGGGGCCTGAACTCAGCTGGGCGCTGTCTCTCACCTCTTCAGCTCAAGGCTAGTGCTCTACCACTCAAGCCATAGCACCACTTCTGGCTTTTTCTGCTTATGTGGTGCTAAGGAATTGAACCCAAGGCCTCATGCATGCAAGGCAAGCATTCTACCATTGAGCCACCTTCCCAGCCTCCTGAACTTTTTTTTTCTCAAAGCTAGCACTCTATCTCTTGAGGCATAACTCCACTCCTGGATATTTGTTAATTAATTGGAGATAAAGAGTCTCATGGACTATTCTGCCCAGGCTGGTTTCAAACCATGATGCTGAGATCCCAGCCTCCTGAGTAGCTACGATTATGGGCGTGACCACCAGTGCCCAGCACTTTTTTTTCTGAGACAAGGTCTCACTATATAACTTAGACTGGCCTTGAGCTCATGATCCTCCTGCCTCAACATCGGATAGACTGGAAATGGAAACACTCAGCACCCATGCCTGTCTCAGAGTGATTAGTATTTAATTTAGAAATGAATTCTCTGTGTTTTGATAGGATTAGAGGGGCTGGAAATAGAATTGCCTTTTCAATTTTTTTATTTTGAGACAAACCAATCTAATCTGGCCTTGAACTCAAGATTCTCCTGCTTTCTATTCCCAAGTGCTGGGTGACAAGTGTGCATCACTGTGCCCAATTCTTTTCCTCCCTCTTTCTTTCTTTCTTTCTTTCTTTTTTTGGTCATGGGGCTTGAACTTTGGGCTTCAGCGCTGTCCCTGAACTTTTCAGCTCAAGACAAGTGCTCTACCACTTGAGCCACAGTGCCACTTCCAGTTTTCTGGTGGTTAACTGGAGAGAAGAGTCTCACGGACTTCTCTGCCTGGACTGGCTTTGAACTGTGATCCTCAGATCTCAGCCTCCTGAGTAACTAGGATTATAGGCGTGAGCCACTGGCACCCAGCTCCAGGTTCCAGTTCTTGTAGTTCAGAATGTTAAACATTCACCCTTCTATGTGTGCTTCTAGATAATGGGGGCTTGTCCATGCCATGCCAAGTGGAGAATTCTAGCCAGGATCATTGAGTCTAGCAAATGGCTCTAATTGATAGTCAATGGCTCACTTTGTACTAATGTCACAGTCACTAAGAAGTGGTGATAAAAACTGTGGTCTGGGCTGGGAAGATGGCTCAGTGGTAGAACGCTTGCCTTGCATGCATGAGGCTCTGGGTTTGATTCCTCAGCATCACATAAGCAAAAAGAAAAAAAAGCTGGAAGTGGTGCTGTGGCTCAAGTGGTAGAGTGCTAGCCTTGAGCTGAAGAGCTGAGGGACAGTGCCCAGGCCCAGAGTTCAGGCCCCACGACCAGACCCCCCAAAAAAACCCAAACAAAACTCTGTGGTCTTACCAGGTACCAGTGGCTCATGTCTATAATCCTAGCTACTTAGCAGGCTGAGATCTAAGGATCTCAGTTCAAAAAGTTCATGAGACTCTTATCTCCAATTAACCAGCAAAAAGTAAGAAGTGGAGCTATGGCTCAAGTGGTAGAGTACTAGCCTTTAGTGAAAAAGTTGAGAGACAGCACCCATGCCCTGAGTTTAAGCCCTAGGATGGTACCAAAAAAAATCCTTGTAGTCTTGAAACAGCTGGCCATCTATTGTGAGGCCCCCTTGTGGTTGGGGTGTTATTGGATGCTAACCAATTCCAGGAGGGAGCAAGAAGGTTCCATGCACTGGTTATCGTCACATAGAGAAATTAGAGCTATCAAAAGCACATATTTAGGTACATATGAACCTACACTGGAGGGTGGAAAGCCAGTAACTCATCCTAGGGAGTCTTGAGAAATTGTTAGGGGAATAGCCAATGCCAGAAATCCTCTCATAGGTGCCAGAATATCTAGATATCCTCAGAGACGGTGTGTGGCTATGCAGATCATTAGAAATAATCAGCATCCCTGCTGCTGTAGCCTGTTCTTGCCCTGACCATACAGATTTCTCTGTCAGGAATTGGAAGGAATACCAACGTTCTTAAAAAGTAGAGAGGTGCCACTCAGGGGCATTGAAATCCGCAATCGATTTGAATGACTTCTTGATTCCTTACTGTAAACGTGCTAACTGGTAGGTGTTTGGAATATTGGATTTGGTTGAGAGCTCATCTGTCTACTGACAGCTACTTGTCTTCATTTCTATCCTAGGGATGATGGAAAAGAGGCACTCAAATTCTACACCAACCCTTCGTACTTCTTTGATCTTTGGAGGGAGAAGATGCTGCAGGACACCAAGGATATCATGAAAGAGAAGAGAAAGCATAGGGTGAGGGGAAGAGGGCCTCTGTTCTACACATCAGTAGGCATGCTTGTGGAGGGCGGATAAAAAGGAAACTAGTCTTATGTGAAGTAATTCCAAGTGACTGCTTGCATGGAGAATGCCAGGTGAAAGTCTTAAAAAAAAATGTGTCCACACCAAGCATCACCAAGATGAAAGCACAAATCACACCAAAAATGTGTTTGTTCCCGCTAACACTATTAACAATTGACTATATTCAGGCTGAGTTTTAGGAATAGATTTTTCTGGTTACCATTTATTTCTCTTGCAAGTTGCACCTGAACTCTGCTGGACATGAGCAAGACTAGTCCCTTTCCCACCAATTTTGCAGCTCAGTTCCGAGACCAGCACCAGGTTCTGCATCACAATTTGTAACAGGAGCAGGTTAACTCCTTTGCTCCTGGGTGGGGCCAAGGAAGGGGGATTTGCCTGGGTTGTAGAGATACTTCTCTCCCCTTAGGCTCCTGATGCTATATGTGACCTACCAGTTTCCACCCCACAATCCCATTAGCATGGCTGCCAGCAGACCCAGGAGACTGCCAGAGGCTAATGCAGCTGCATGGGCTGGAAAATTCTTCAGTGATTTGGTTTTGTTTTTTTAACTATTTCCTTCTATCCACCCAAGATATCAACAGCTGTTATTCTTTTTATCTCTCTAAACTGACCTTTGTGGCAGAGCAAATAACAAATAGCTGTTTACTCACTTCCTAACAATTAGAATGGTTCAAAGACGTGAAAGAGTTACCCAGAGATGTAACGGATTTTCCATTGCGAGAGGTGTTGAGTGTGGGACTGAGCAAATGTTTTGCCCAGGAGGTGGTTTGAATTAGATGGCCTCTAGGTCACTCCAAACCCGGCAATTCTATAAATTCTGCTGTTATCATGTGTTGTCTAGGCAAATCATCTCTTGAATGTGCATCCTGGAAGATGGGTGGAATTTTAATGAAGAACTTTGGAAAATATTTTACCAAGGCTCTTTTGTTCCTTCTTAATATAGAAAGAAAAGAAAGATAATCCAAATCGAGGAAATGTAAACCCACGTAAAATCAAGACGCGTAAGGAAGAGTGGGAGAAAATGAAGATGGGACAAGAATTTGTGGAGTCCAAAGAAAAGCTGGGGCCTTCTGGGTAGGTGATGCTTTTGTACTATCAGTAGCCTTCTTTGAGGAGATTAGGGACCTGGAGATAACAGTCTGGCATAACACCTTTCACACCCCCTGAAATTTGACTGTGGGGTTTAGACCAATACCACCATTAATCAGCTACTTCTAAGTGCAGCCATCTGGTGATTAAAATTTGCTAAATAAATCAAGAGACTCAGCAATTTAAATGAGGTGACTGGAGTGGTCTAGGAAAAAAAAAAAAAAAAGACCCATGGCTTCTTGTGCCTTACTCTGCCAGACACTAGTATATCCAAGGATTTCAAGAAAAATTGGAAAGCAAGGAAAGTGGTCCAAGGAGCACTTTGCCTCTAAAGTGTGGATTTGAAGGTCAAGCCTAAGAGCCAGTCATCTTGAAGAAGTAGGAAGGGCCAGGCAGCGAAGTCATGCATTACCAGAGCAACTTCTCAGCCAGCCTTTGTCAGGTTTGGGAGAGCGGCTGGCCAAGGGGCTGAATGCAGAGCTCAGAGTCAGTGTGGGAAAGGTTGCTAGGCCACTGTGGAGGCTATATATCTCTGTGGAGAAATAGGAGATGTCAGTCTGACCCCATTTCCCAATACCAAATCATATAGGAGGTGTAAAGGGGGGGAAGTGGGTTGTAAGCTTGGTTTGATGCTTATCCTGTTGTCTGACCTGTGTGACGTTCAGAACCAAGTCACCACGACTGCTTGGCACAATTGTCACACTGGTTTTTCCTCTAAATACATTGCATTCTAGCTGTCAGAGATCCATGCCAGCCCATGCTGGGTGTCTAGGGATGATAAAAGGAAAGAGTTGAGTTGTTCTTGCTTTTAGGAGTAACTCTACCATGAAAACCTTGACTTTTAAAAATCTTGACACTTCTGACACTCGTTCTTTCTGGATTAAGAGATTTGTTTTAAAGAGTGGAGAAGATAGTGAGAGGGAAAACGAACCTTTCTTTCTGTAGGGAAGTCAGCCCCGAGTGTGCTTTCATTGCCCGCGCCCCAGCCCCCCGCCTCCCAGTACAAGAGGTTGTTTTGCCATCCTTTTGAGACAGGCACTTTCTCCTAGGTCCAGGGTCCTGTTTTGTGAAGTGGGGGTGGTGAAGATGAGGGATTTGCCTGCCATTTTCCTCTTGCATTGGGCTACATGCGTGGCCTACCTAGACATGCTTGTTGATGAACTTACCAAGCAATGTGTCAAGCTGAGTGCGGGTGGCTCAGACCTGTAATCCTAGTTACCCAGAAGACTGAGGTCCTCACATCTCAGTTTGCTGAGTAGCTAGGATTACAGGCAAGCCACTAGCACCTGGCCTTGCTTGACATTTTGATATCATTCATTCAGAGCAAGTTCATTCAAGGCCCAGTGCTTTGAGGGAGAGGTTTTCATAAGGCAAGCCCTAGCACCCTGCGTTAAGTAGCAGCTCATTTGGTTGATGAGCATCCTGGCATAGGGACTGCATTTACTACCACACAGCAACCTTGGCATGATTTTTGCAATCAGATGCCTCCTTGGCCTTTGAGCACTCAGAATCAGGCTGTAGGCCAGTCACATGTTTGCAGCTCAATGGTCTGTGCATTTTAGCTTCACCCTTTGACCACCACAGGCTTTGGGCTTCGAGTATCACTGTCCCTAATGTTTAGGAGACAATTTGAAAGAATGTTGGATTTGCTAAAGCTGATACCGGAAGAGAACAGCAGGGTTTTGATCATAAGGGTTGGATCCTGTTACCATAGCAGAAATGTCTGAAAGATGAATAAAATAGGATATTTAGTCCTAAAATTTCAATATAACAGAAAATAGGTGGGAAATCTACTGACTTTATTTCTCCCTAGTCGCTTTTGTATCACATGCATTTTTGTAGTATGTATGAGGAAAGGAGTATCACTCAGGTTCTTTATTTATTTTTACTTTTTTTGTGCTGGGACTACTCTTTAAATGATAGCTTTTCACCTTGGGTCTGTTGTCAGCTATTCACCATCCCTGGTGTATCAGAATGGCAGCATTGGCTCTGTTGAAAATGTGGATACAGGCACCTACCCACCACCGCCACAGTCAGATTCTGCCTCTTCACCTTCTCCTTCCTTCTCTGAGGACAACTTGCCTCCCCCGCCAGCAGAATTCAGGTAAGTGGTAGGACCTCTTCTACCCATCCTGTGTGGCTAAGCACTCAGGAACAGAACAAGAGTTAAAAATACAGGACAGGACCACTGGCACAACTTGTGGCAAATCTGTCCAGGTAATAGAAAAAAATGAACATTTATCAACAGTGAGGGTGCTGGATGTTGTACTGAACACTGTAATACGTTACTTATTCCCATAGAAGGCCTCTTGAGGAGGCACTGGTATTATTCCCGTGTTACAGATAAGTAAACTATGAGGCACAGAAAGGTCAGTGAACTTACATAAGGTTACACAGTGAACAAGAGGCAGAGCCATGATTTAGTCAAGCCTAATTTTCTTTTTTTGGTTGGTCATGGAGCTTGAACTCTGGGCTTGCGCCCTGTCCCTGAGCTCTTCAGCTAAGGCTAGTGCTCTAGCCATGGCATCACTTCCGCTTTTCTGGTGGTTTATGGGAGATAAGTCTCATGGACTTTCCTGTCCGGGCTGGCTTTGAACCTCGATCCTCAGATCTCAGCCTCCTGAGTGGCTAGGATTACAGGCGTGATTACTGAACGCCTAGCCTAAATCTTAACTACTTGCTATTCTGCCTGAAGGAACAGGTGGAAGTCACCAGCTTTTTTTCTTTTTCTTTTTATTTTTTGCCAGTCTTGGGGCTTGAACTCAGGGTCTGGGCACTGTCCCTGAGCTTCTTTTGCTCAAGGCTAGCACTCTACCACTTGAGCCACAGTACCACTTCCATTCTTCTATTTATGTGATATTGAGGAATTGAACCCCGGGCTTACTGCATGGTAGGCCAGAACTCTACCACTAGGCCACATTCCCAGCCCCTTGTTACCAGCTTTAACTAGTATGAGATAACACGGTCCAGTCTGTTGGCCATGTAGGAGTTAGCAGACACCTTGCTCAGAATCTAGGAATCTTGCAGATAGCTACTCTCCCTGCCCCCTCTCCTGTTGCTCTGGCAAATTTCACTTCTAGGTAGACTGTTCAGAAAGATGAAAACAAGGAGAAAGGGGAATGAGGCTTAGAGTCTCTCTGGCAGAGGTATATGGAGAAGATTGCCTGCCAGTAATGGCTGGAAAGGGGGCTGAGGGTTGTTTGCATTGCACTATTTCCTTACAGTTACTTTTTCCCTTTCTGATGCCTGACAAATGAGCACTTTGAAAGGTGCACTTTTCTCCTTGCACTGTTTAATTAGTGAGTGAATATATTGAGGCCCCTTAGAGGCAGTCTAAAGCAATGCTGTCCTCCCTTCCCCCATTTTTCTTGGCCCTTGTAACCACTAATCCCAAATCTCCTCCTGCCTCCCAAATCACTTCCTGCTGGCTGCCCTGTCAGATGCAGCTAAGGCTTGAAGGTCTGTGGAAAATTCCAAGATGGATGCTTTTCTAAGAAGTAGCTATTAGTTCAGGGCAGATGCAAAGGTAGAAGAAAAGCTTCAGCCCCACACATGACCTGAAACTGCAGTTCCAGGCCCATGAATCTGTTCCCAGGAGAAGAGGAGCCTTAATCCTCTTTCCAGCCTAGATCAAGAGTTGGTAGTCTGAGCGTTTCCATCTTTCACATCCTCAGATAGAGATTTACTCTCCTTCAAGTGAAGATGCATGCACCTAAACCTATACCCGCTCAGGCTTGGTCAGCTCAGCGTGGGTTCCTTTCCTCACAAAATCTGCTGAATGTTAATAACCTGAGAAACACAGCCCAGTGGGTGGGTGGTTTGAATTTTCATTCGAGGTCTTGCCTGTATGTATTCTGAGTCCTGGGTCTAGACTTAAACTAATGGTCACCCATGGGCCATTCCTCTCCAGGAGGGCTCAGGGTCAGGTTCATGTTTGGGAGCAGGCCTTCTTCCCCTGAGGTGTCTTGGCTGGCTCTTAACTGCCAGGGGCATCCGAAGTCCACTTTTACCAGGTAGTTCCCCTCACTTCTCTGCCAGCGGGAAGCTAGCTCCTTACCTTATAAGGCTGTTCAGTTCCTTGTTGATCTATTCTGACCGCTCCTGGGTGTTTCCTTCTGTTGGGCCTGAGTAAAGCAGGTGAACATGGCGGGCTAAGGGGAGCCTGGGCTTGTAGGTAAGCCTTCCTCTAAGTAGGTGTTTGTGCCCTCAAAATGAAGATGGGTCTCTTCTTTGTCCCTCTAGCTACCCAGCAGACAACCAAAGAGGATCTGGCTTGGCTGGACCCAAAAGAACCAGCGTGGTCAGCCCCAGCCACCCACCTCCAGCTCCTCCTCTGGGCTCTCCACCAGGCCCCAAACCTGGGTTTGCGCCTCCACCTGCCCCTCCCCCTCCCCCGCCAATGAGCGTGCCGCCTCCACCACCACCGGCAGGATTTGGGTCTCCAGGGACTCCTCCGCCACCTTCTCCCCCATCTTTTCCACCTCACCCTGATTTTGCTGCTCCTCCCCCACCTCCCCCCCCACCAGCAGCTGACTATCCCCCACCACCTCCCTTGTCCCAACCAACAGGAGGAGGAGCCCCTCCCCCTCCTCCTCCTCCCCCGCCTCCGGGACCCCCGCCTCTCCCCTTCAGTGGTGCAGATGGCCAGCCCACCATACCATCACCACATTCTGAGACCACCAAGCCCAAGTCTTCCTTGCCTGCTGTGAGTGATGCCCGGAGCGACCTGCTTTCTGCCATCCGCCAAGGTAAGTAAATCCGCTGGTGGTTTGGGGCCATGGAATTTTCTGGAGCTGATTTGACTGAGTAAGGGGTGGGGGGGGGCTCTCTGTCCATTTCAAGGGACAGCTTTTATGGAGTATAGAAAGCAATTGGAACCTTGGGCTGGAAAAAGATTTTGCCCTAAAAATGTGAAGATTCAGTTGTTGTTGTTTTTAATTGCATTGGTCTAAATTGAAGACTTTCCTGTTTGTTTGTTGGCAGTGCCAGAGTGGACTGACTCAGGACCTTTTGCTTGCTAGGCAAGTGCTTTCCCATCTGAGTCACATCTCTAGTTCTTTTTGTTTTTGGTTTTTTGGTTATGGGGCTTGAACTCAGGGCCTGGGCGCTGCCCCTGAGCTGCTTCACTCAGAGCTAGTGCTCTACCACTTGGAGCCTCAGCACCACTTCTAGTTCTTTTTGTTATAATTTGATTTTAGATAGGATCTGGTGCTTTTACCTATGACTCTGGATTCTCTTACTTCTAACTCCTGAGTAGCTGGGATTACAGCTGGGAAACACCATGCCCAGCCCATTGGCTTTTTTTGTTTGTTTTGTTTTTTAAGCTCTCACCAGCATTTTCACCTAGACTGGGCCTAGAATTTTGATCTCTTATCTCTACCTCTTACATAGCTAGGATTACAGTTATATACCACCTTGCCTGGCTACAGTGAAAAATTGTAAAGATTCCTAGGCTCTTGGAACTCCTTGAAAATATAGTGTGTGTATTTGCACGTAAGAATTGCTACTGGGTGGGTCTTACCCTGTTTTTTCTTATCCTTTTCCCTTTTTTCCCCCTTTATCTCCCCCTTTACTCTCCCCAACTGATCGAACCCTCCTGGAGCATTTGTTCTCTTTGTCAGGGCCCAAATCTGGTTCCAAAGTGTTAGTTTTGTTCTGAGGGTGATCAAGAGACAGGAGCTGCAGAGCCCCTTTGCAGCTGGGGACTTGAGCAGTCTGTGCGCTTACCGGATGGGCTACTGTGGCACTCCCCACTCAGAGCCTGATGAGAGAGTGCCATCCTCAGCAGCAACCACACACCCCCACAGCACTATATTCTCTTCCTGCTTGCCCTGCCTCTTCACATTCCTAAAGGATCCTTCTTTTTCCTGTCTTCAGTCTCTCCCTCTATCGGAGGGCACACCCCTTAGTGCTGAATGGGTTCTGTGGCTGGAAGTGCCTTCTTAACCCTTCTCCCTTTCTGTCACCAGGCTTTCAGCTGCGCAAGGTTGAAGAACAGCGGGAGCAAGAGAAGCGTGATGTTGTGGGCAATGATGTGGCCACCATACTGTCACGTCGCATTGCTGTTGAGTACAGCGACTCTGAAGACGACTCCTCGGAGTTTGATGAAGATGACTGGTCGGATTAACTCGTTCTGCCTGCTGCCCCCCCTCCCCTTTTTCTTTCCTTCCTTCCTGTCTTTGATATCTACCCTAACAATCCCATGGGGGAAAGGAAGGAAAAAAATTTTTTTTTCAAGGGGCCAAAGCCTTCCCCGAAGCAACCAAAGATATATCCAAGTGCTTCCTCCAAATTGCCATGCATTTTCTCTCCATTGCCAGGCCCTTGGGCTCCTGAGGGTCTGCAGCTGAGTTGCTCCTTCTTCCCTTCAAGTGACTGGTACATATTGAAAGAAAGAAAACCCCCAGAGCAGATCCTTTGATTGGGTTTCAGTTGGAGATAGTGTCTTCCCCTAAGAGCCATTTTCAATGGTGGCCTTCTTCCAAAATCCTTGCCCTCAGCTTTTTCAAATAATGCCAGCCATTATTCTGGTCCTAACCCTGTGAGAATGGCCTGTGTGGATGCAGACGGCCCCCCACCTGGGCTCAGGAAGAAGGCATCGCAGGCAAGTGTCCATAGCCGGACTGTGGCAGGCTTCTGCCCCCTGCGCCACCATTTTTAGCCGGTGGGCTGCGCTTGCTCAGTTATCTCTAGGCCTGGCTGCCTCTCTCAGGAGGCATCTTGTCCTGCCTGGCTGGTGTCTCTCTCCCAGGCTCCCTCCTGAACTCCTGGTGTTCAGGTATCTTTTAGATGTCTCTCCCTCACCCTTAGGTGCCTTTAGGCTACATAGCCTGGTTTTAACCTCCAGTATCCATGACCAAACTAGCTCTGACACTCAGGAACCTGGGCCTCTGCTGGTTGTCAGAAAGAAAGCCTAGAGACTTGGAACTACAAGGGTCCTGGGGTCCAGCTCTCTGAAGGACACTGAGGCTTGCCAGTAGGAAGGGACTCGCTCAAGGTCACACAGTTGGATAGTGACAGAGCATGCGCCCAGATTTCTGAATTCCAAGTTACCCATGCTTTCTAGGACCAAATAATGGGCACCTGCTGGAGTCTGGGCAGAGCCGCTTTAACGATGCTGCTCAACACTGCTTGTAGGCAGGAGTCCCAGTCAGAGGGCTTAGGGCCTTGGCAGCCCTGTCGGTACTGTTCTGATCCTTGTGTCCTCTCTTGTCGCCCTTTGTCATCCCGTTCTACTTCCAGCCACTCAGGTGGCCAAGGAGCTGCACTTTTGAGGGACCAGGAATAAGGGAGAGAAGAAAGGGGGCAGGAAGCCTTGACAAATGCTGTTTTCAGTTCCTCTGCAGCCTCTTCCCCTTTTCTTTCTCCAGTGTTTAGCCAGGGTTCTGCCCGCAGTAGAAACTTCAGTCGCTGGGGCTGGAAGCTGCCTGCCGCAAGATACCTGCCTGGGGGTGGGGGACTGGCAGCCATGAAGAGAAGGCTAAAAGGCGGAAGGACTCCGGGTCCTCTTTCTAGCTCCCACTCACTCATACCGTGAGGTTGCTTCCCCCTCTGCCTCCCTGCCCAGAGCCAATACACAGGTGCTATTTTTCAGGAAAAAAAACAACCACCAAAAAACTGGTCAGCTCTGGCCAACAGCAAGATTTCTTCTCTTCTGCTCCAACTATTGTGTAGCCTTTTAGGCTGAAATCAGCTTCTCCTGGCTTCTCCAGCTTTCAGAGCCTGAAACAAAGAGAAACAGGATCTGTCTCTACCCAGCACAGCAAATGGTTGTAGTAATTGCCAAAGCCCTCGTAAACCCCTCCGGCTTGAGGAGAGTGAGGAGAGTGCGTAATCACGGCGCTGCTGCCTGCCCTCACCCAGAGCCTCCCTCCACTTCCCTCCTCGAGTTTGGAACATGGGGACTAAGCCTGCAGATGCCAGAGGCCTCCTGCCGCTCCTCCGGTGTCGTGCCCCCCCCCCCAGTGTCTGTGCTGTGGCTTGGCACCCAGCTCCATGCTAAGCACGTGGGCTCGCCTGCCCGCCCTGTGCACTTCCACCTTGCCCTTCGCTTTCATCAGAACCCTAAAATGGCCGTTGAAGGTGCCCAGCCGCAGCTCGGCAGGGGCTGGAGAGGGAGGCAGGCAGGCAGGCAGGCAGGCGGAGGGCCGTGGTTCTTCCAAATAGGAGTCCTGGGGCCTGGCCAGGCCAGGGTTTGGGCCTAATGGCTTTGACTAAATTACCCCCATCCTCCTCCTTTCCGGAAAAAGGGGGAGCCAGAGCCACTGCTATCATTCTCTTCTGACCTTGAAGGGGGCGGTGTTGGCCTAGCTTCTGGAATGGACAGAGTCCACCGTGCAAAGGGCTGGGGGCAGGAGGAGATGGGGAGGGCCTGCCTGCGGAAGGTAGGATTAGATCATTAGCTCAGTGACCTCCTAGGGTTTCCATGTGCTGTGTTCTCATCCTACAGCTGGTTTGGTAATGATCTGCAAGTCCCGGAGAGCAACAGCACAGCTCTGCCTGACGCTCTCATTAAAATCTATGCAGCCAAGCTCGGCGCTTTGTAGCAGCCGGCCTTGCGAAGCCTCAGCTGGGGGGTGGGGGGACCCAGTCAGCTGAGAGGCCCTCTGGGCTCTACTTATGCATATGTGCACCAAAAAAAAGAAAAAAAAGTGCTTCTTTACCCAGGGCCCTTTAAGATGATAAAGGACCCAGCGCAGGTAGGCATGTGTTTGTGGAATTCTGTAATTGTAGAATGTGAAGTTTGGTGGTTATTTAAACTGGGCCGAGGCTGCTAAGAGTATAGAACAATGGCCCATAAGGACTCTTAAGCTTCAAAGCCAAGGAGCCACCTCCCTTCCTGGTCTGCCCAGCCCAGGGGACCTGCCCCCATTCCTGTGGCCCAGAGGCCCAGCTTCCATTCGGCAGTGTCAGAAGTGACTTGTGGCTTTGCCTTGCTCGTGAGATGATTTCATTCCAAGGGAGCAGGGGTGGGGGGAGGCGGGCGGTGATCCCTTGGAGGCTCAGAGCAGCTGGCCTGAGCTCCCGCTCCTCCCCTCCGATGGAGGCTCCAGCGCCCTCACAAACGACCCTGGCCAATGTCACCGCAGCACTGAGGCGGTGTTGTCAGGGCTAATGTGAAATCTCTTCCCGTGGCGCCGATCCTCCGACTCTGCAGCGCCAGCATGGACAGATTGAGGTCTCTGTGGCTTTGGTGACCCTGCTTAAGCATTCCCACCGCGTTCCTGCTCTGCTGTAGGACTGCCTCCCGCCGCAGCCCCTCACCTGACCTCGGGGCCTGCGGGAGGACGCAGCGTGCCAGGCCCAGGCGCTCCTGCTCAGGAGAGATGCCAGCCTTCCTCGGAGGGCGTAAGCCTTTGAGCTCTGCCTGAGTCCATCTGACCAGGGGCAGGGGTCACAGAGCAGGGCCTGGTCCCGCGCCTCCCGCCACCTTCACTTTAATGGGGCCTCAGCAAGGGCCAGGGAACATCTCTGTCTCTGTATTAACTTCAGCCGGTTAATTCATTTGAGAAACTAACCAGTTTTTACTTTCTGTCTAGAATGGTGTACATGTAGAAGAGTAAGCTGTAATGCTCCCAAAGTGCCTTGTTTTCTCTGATATAAATATATTTATAAGAACAGACTCTAGTGAGTTCTTGGGTGTGTTTGGCACCTCGACATTTTAGGGAGTGAGCGCAGAGGTAGTGGAGACACCGTCAGAGAACACACCTTTCCCCAAGGCTGGGAAAGTAGCCGGTCCCCCAAAGTGCCTCTCTTCTCTTCTGCCCCTTCTCAGACCCTTGGAAGGACACCCAGTTTTTAGGGCCCTGAAACTCCAAGCTTGGTCTCCTTTGCTTTCCTGTCAGGCTTGTTTATGTACCATATTTGTACCCCAGCGACCCGAAGGTCCTGTGGAACTCTGTACACATGTGGACACCATCTTCAGGAATTCGATAAAGGCTCTGCGGCCATGCAGCCACCTCTGGTGTTGGTGTGTTTCATGGGAGACTTGGAGGCCACGCTGAGAGCCATGGGCTGCAGGGGGCCTCTGGGTAGAGACCCACGTTGTGAGGTTGGAGTCCAGGCCCCCTCCCCGCGAGGAGGGGTGCCGACAGCTCCTCAGCCAGCGGGGGGGGGGCACAGGCTGAGTGCCGCCCAACATCTGGCCGGCATCTTGCCTGCCTCAGACCCAGGCGGCATACCTTCAGCAGAACCCTGTACCGGGGATCCGTAGAAAGGCTTGGGCTGCTCATACCTCCTCCTGCCTGGGGAAGGGGGGCGGCCTTTTGTTCTGGACCCCCCCCCCAAGTTACCTGCACAGGAAGCAGTGGCTGTCCTGGGGGTGATGGGTGAGCAGGCGCTGGCTCCAGGCCCCGTAGACCCGATGGGGTGACCCTGGGCAGGAGGGTGGGCCTGGTTGGTGGCTCTGCAGGTCACGCCTGCTTGTGGGAGTCACCCACTGGCGACGGAGAAGTTTTGAGTTGTCAGCAACGCTGCACCCGGCCTGAGCTCATGGCGGGGGGGGGGGGGGGGCGCAGGCCACGCAGCTCCCTCTGCTCCGGCCTGTGTTTAGTCAGCACTTGGCTGCCAGAGGCTGGTGACTGACAGGCAGCCAGACGCCCGCCCTGGCAAGACAAAATGGAGGTGTGGGAGCCTGGGCGGGGGGCTGGCGGCAGGCCAGTCCCGAGCCTGTCCTCACCTCCCGGGACTCACCCTGAGGAGGAGCGCTTAGCAGGCACCCATTACTGCCAAACACTGCCCATGTTAGCGCTGATCTTGAGGGCAGGAGCTCCGTGTCCCACCCGAGAACAGCAGGTTCGCAGGTGAAGCGCTCGCCCCAGAGCCCGCGGCCCACACCCTGCCCAGCCTGCGGCAGCCCACGGCGCGGCTCAGAGCTTCGCTCCCACCCCTGGAGGCCAACGGGACCCTGCAGGCCACCCTGCCTGGCACACGCGCGGGCGATTGGTGTGTGTGAGTGGCACACCGGAGCCCGGGCCCCAGAGGCACACACACACATTGTGTAGGCCCCTGGCCTTGTGCAAACGAGGACGCAAGTCAGCACGCAGTTACTGGAACACACATCATGGCTGGCGGATCTTACACCAAGTCCCAGCCAGCCGCCCTTCCCTGCCTGCTACCTCGCCCTGTTGCTCACTGCCCCCTCCTGGCCGTCTGACCACCAGGGCAACCTGGCGCCATTTGCTGACGTTCTGCTCCAGGTGGCAGCCAGCTCCTGTCTAGACCACAGGCAGGAGCCGTGTCAGGTGCCCCCCTTGGGCCCTGGGGAGAAGCTCAGGACCCGAATGGCCTTTGATGACCCAGGAATCTCTGGTTCCATCACCGTCTTCTACAGGAGGCCGAAGTCTACCCCCCCCCCCCCGCCCCAGCAAGCAGCCGCCCTGCCTGCCCTCCCTACGGAGCTCCAGCCCTCCTGCCTCACGCCTGTGCTGCTCCTCACCTCCCACCCACCTGCTCCCTCTCTGGGCTGCACTTCCTCACTTTCTCCACCCCCCTCCCCCCAAGGATGGTTGTGGCCCCTCCATCCTGGCATTTCACCATCTTAGGAAATGACAGAGCTCCCTCATAGGTCTAAAATACACATCAATTAACACGACTCCATGGACTCCTCTAAGGACAGTCTTGAAAGGATCACAAATACAAAGCCATGCATTCCTATTTTACCAATGAGGAAACAAGGCGCAGAGAGGCACAGCAACTTGTCCAAAATCACACAGCAAGCAGGCAACACCTTGATGTGTCAGAGAGCACAGCACCTTGTGGCCTTGGGCACAGAGCCAAGAGGATTGGAGCTAGAAGGACTAAAGCCAGAGTTCTGCTGTTCGTTCTAGGAGTCAGGAAAGGGCTCATGTGGCTTCCTGAAGGTTTGGGAACTGAGTTCGACCACTTTGTGCCCAGAAGTCTGAACAGGTCTCCAGGTTTCTCTTCTGCAAAGCTGGAGGCAAAGCTAGAGGCAAGTTAGCAGGGCTTCTCCATTGCCCCTGGCACTTGCTAGCTTTCATGTCAAGGTCTGCACGCGTGCGAGTGCTGCATCCCTGCATGCCTACATTATGTACACCCACCTCTGTGTGTGTAGATGTGCACGAGCATGTGTGCACTCTTGCTCAAGGCTGATGCTCTGCCGCTTGGGCCATATGTCCACTTCCGGCTTTTTGCTGGTTAATTGCAGGTAAGAGTTTCTCAGATGTGACTGCCTAGTCTGGCTTTGAACAGCAGTCCTCAGATCTCAGCTTCCTGAGTTGTTAGGATTACAGGAGTGAGCCACCAAACCCTGGCTTGAGGGTGTATTTTTGCACACGCCTGCAGGTACACGTAAGCACAAGTTCTCCCACTGAGCTGCCCTTTCCCTAGCACTTACATACATATGTGTGTGTCTGTCTGTCTACCTACCTACCTACACAGGTGACAGTTCACATGTGAGGTGGTCTCGCACGTGTGCTTGGTGTACTTGGGTGTGTGCCAGCGTTGACCTGCATTGGTGTGCAGAGGGGTGAGTGTTCTGTGCAATGAGGTGTGTGTAAATGATGGTGCGCATGGCTCGCGGGGATGCGGAGCTCGGTGCCCCCCACCCGGGTCCAGGCTCTGGCTCTCAGCCCCCCTCCTCACCCCCACACGCACGCTCTATTCCCCAGACCCATTCTGCTCGGCCAATTTGCAGCCTCTTGCTCCCAGCTGTGGAGAAGGCCTGCAGCAAAGTCAAGGGGCTGATGGCCAATTAGCAAGGGGCTTAATCAGGGATCTGGGGCCCCCTGGGGGGGGATTGGAAGGAGCAGGAACTGCCTGTCAGAAGGCTGGGGGAAGGGAGGGGAGGGACCAGGGCTGAGCCAGCCAATCAGTGCTGAATAGTAGGGGGGGGAGGTAGTGGACTCATGGGCATTGGCAGGCGTGGCGGGGGGGGGGGGGGGGGCGGGTACATGGTGTGAACTGGTGTGTGCCTACATTCCAGTCACTTGAGTGTGAGCCCGTGCCTGTGTGGGCGGTTGTGTGCATGACTTATCACCTGTAAACACATGTGCAGGTGGTGTGTATGAGTGTCCAAGTGGGGTTGCTTAGGCGATATGCCTGGAACTGTGCACGTGTGTGTGAGCATGACCCCTACACACAATGAAGCAGACGTTCTAGCATGCATCACTTGTGGAGGTTCCCCGTGTACACGTGTGCAACATGTATGTGTGTGCTGCACTAGTGTGTGGAGGCACCTGAGTATACTTTGTGTGTGTGTGCGCGTGTGCATGTGTCAGATGCCTGTTCTGCCGCACGTGTGTCTGTGTGCATGTGCAAGTGTGTGCGCACGTCTTGGCACCGGAGGAGCTGAGGGCCACAGGACCACGGGGCTCCAGGCTCCAAGAGGGAAGCTGACGGATGAGCCTGGCCGCGGCCCGGCCCGGGAGCCCGCGTTGCAGCCTGCAGAAGCCGTGCGTGTGAACTCATATTAATAGCTGCTGTCTCCTCACTCCTCGTGGGGAGAGGCGGTGGTGGCCCCGGGCAGGGCCGGGGGGCGCTCAGGGCTGCGCCCTCCCTGCAGGTGCTCTGGCCTCCCCCAATTCAGGGAGCCCACCGCCCGGCTCCCCCTCCTTGGCCTCTGTAGTTGGGTGGGATCAAGCCTTGGGGTTGGAAGCAGAGGCTGGGAGAAAGCTTGGCCTTCTCTCCCCAGACACACGCACGCGCGTGCACTTGAGCATGCACACACACACACACATAGAAATGTGCTGTGTGCACAGTCCTGGCTTGAGCACCAGATGAGTCTGAGACTGAAGGCCCTGGCGGGGTGCAGCGTGACCCCGAAGGGCTTCAGCTCAAGGGAGGAGGAGGCTGGGCTCTCAGGAGTCCCCGGTGGGGAGGTGGGGAGGTGGAGGGGGGGCAGGACTTGTCATCAGGAGAGACAAAGACTTCTGCTTTCATGGCTGAGTAGGCAAACAGGTCCCCTCCCTCAGGGACCCTCCTCTGGCGGTGGGAGCCCAGCCCTGCCTTTGGGGCTCCCTTCTGAAGAAGAAGGCACCCTGCTTTTGGGGGGGGGGCTTGAGCTCTGGGTATTGTCTCTCAGCTCTTCATCTCAAGGCCAGCATTCTACCACTTGAACTACAGCACCACTTCCAGGTTTCTGGTGGTTTATTGGAGATAAAGTCTCACAGACATTCCTGCCCAGGCTGGCTTTGAACCGCAATCCTCAGATCTCAGCCTTCTGAGTAGCTCGGGTGGCAGGCGTGAGTCACCAGCACCTGGTTGAAGGCACGCTTCTCTACAGGGTGCGGCGGGAGCTGGCTGGGGCGTGTTGTGGATGGTGCATCTCAACAGGCTGGGCTGGGCCTGGGGGAAGTGGGCAGTAGGGTGGGGGGGGGGTCTAGGCCATTTCTCCCTGGGAGAGAAGCCTACTGAGCCCCACCTCACACAGAATCCTTCAAATGACTCAGATCCAGCAGACAAGTGCCCCAAACATCCCCCTCCTCCCATCCACCACTCCACACATGGTAGGTCCCTGCTTGGGCCTCAGAGCCAGAAGCTAGGATAAGGACACAAAGCTCCCCGGTTCATCCTCCCAGCAAGCAGCAGCACCTGGCCCCTCCCTCTGAACCCCGTGAGTGCACCCTTCCTTAGGCCCAAGGTGTGGGTGTAGAGGAGATCTTCAGGTTTTTTCCGGGTCCACATAGGACTCCCTGCCTCAGTTTCCTGGACTGCTGACCTGGGTCCAGCTCTCAGCTCAAGTCCTGTCTGTGACTTTGGACAATCATGTCACTTTTCAAGAAGGCCTTCATTTTGAACAGCTGCATTTAAAAATTACTCCTATATTCCCTAGGCTTCTTCCCTTTTTTTTTTTTTTTTTTGTCGGTTTTGGGGCTTGAACTCTGGGCCTGGGCGCTGTCCCTCAGCTCTTTCAGCTCAAGGCAAGCACTCTACCACTTGAGCTACAGCACCACTTCCGGTTTTCTGGTGGTTTATTGGAGATAGGAGT